AACCATAAAATCAAACAGCAGATCAAAAAGGGAAGTTCCAGCAAATAGTAATGAAAATAAATTGTTTACATATATGCCTGAATAATGACTACAGCAGTTACTTCATTTATTATATACATAATAAATGTTTCTAATCATTTTATTGATATAATCATAAAAAAGGAGGATTTTCCATTTTCGATTAATTTTTTAAAAAAAAATATACGAGACAGTTAAGTGGTTAAATACAATGAAATTTCCTGAAGATAACTTTACACAATCTAAAACGATTTAGTCTTTACAGTTTAGAAACGTTTTATGAATTCAAAAATATATTTTTAATTTGTCATTTCTAGAATCTTACTTTACTGGTGTCATGCACAGTATATAAAACCTACTTCAAAATGAAAAGGAATATGATGAAATTCTGGATGAATTCTGAAATGTAGCTGAGGTTCTATCAAACCATTTTCCAATCTAGTATAATTAAAGCAAATTTTCTCTTTTACTGGATTTTGCAAAAGTATAAACTAATTTTTTGTATGCAACTCCCTAAGTGGTCAGGCTCCAGAAGGTTCCAAGGTACATAGGTCCGGGAAAAGGTTGTCTCAAGAAAACTTAAAAGAAACTTTTGATACTTATTTGACCAATGCTGAGAAAGACGAGCTATTAAGTCTACTAGATGAATTTAGTGACATTTTTTACTTTAACAATGTTGCAAAAAAATCCCGATACAATACGGTGAAGCACAAGATTGATACAGGTGATAGTGCACCAATCAAACAAAGGCCACACCATGTGTCAGCCACTGAGAGGTGTGTGATTGCAGAAAAAGTGCAATGAATGCTAAAAGAAGATGTGATACAACCATCAGACAGTCCATGGTCATCTCCAGTCATGCTTGTGAAGAAGAAAAACGGTGAATGGCGCTTTTGTGTTGATTACAGAAAACTGAACAAAGTAAATAAAAAGGACGTCTATCCGTTACCTCGCATCAATGATGCTTTGGACTGCCTGTCTGGTGCAAAACTGTTCTCTATTATGGATCTATAATAGCTAAAAATATGTAATCATAATCTATTATATTATAAGTCAGGCTACTGGCAAATAGAGGTTTGATGATAAAGACAGAGAAAAGACAGCTTTTGTGACTCCAGATGGGTCTCTATGAATTTAAAGTCATGCCCTTCAGATTATGCAATGCTCCAGGCACATTTGAACAGATGATGGACACGGTACTAAGAGGTCTCAAATGGAATATTTGTCTTTGCTACCTCGAAGACATAATCGTGTAGCCACCTAATTTCGAAGAACATCAAAAGCGTTTGAGGGAAATACTGAAATGTATCCAAAGAGCAGGACTGATGCTAAATTCCAAGAAATGTTCATTCGGCAAAAAGAAGCTGACTATACTGGGACACTTAGTTGATCAACAAGAGATGTATCCCGATCCACAAAAGGTAGAGGCTGTAGCAAAGTTCCCTGCTCCTAAAAATATTGCCGATGTCCAAAGTTTTTCTGGGCTTGTGCCCCTACTACTGACGATATATCAAAAATTTCGCAGATATCACAAAGCCCCTGCATAACTTGTTGAAGAAAGATGCAAAATTTTCTTGGACCACGTTACAGATTGAATCTTTCGCAATGCTCAAAAGGCTGCTGACCAGTGGCACTGTTTTGGGATATTTCATTCCAGATGCAGAATATTCTGACACTAGCAGCTATGGCATCGGTGCAGTACTGGTTCAGATCCCGGATGGCAAAGAAAGACCAATAGCCTATGCATACAGGTCCCTTAATGCAGCTGATAGGAACTATTCCACCACCGAAAAAGAATGCCTTGTCATCATCTGGGCAATTAGTTAATTCAGGCCATACCTCTACGGAAAACCCTTCACGTTGGTCACAGATCACTACTCTTTATGTTGGCTGGCCAATGTTAAGGATCCACCCAGAAGACTTGTACGGTAGGCTCTCAGGTTGCAGGAATACGACATAAATATTTTCTACAAGAGCGGTCGCAAACACTCCAATGCAGATTCACTATCAAGGAAGCCTCTCATAGAACTAATAATTGAGAACAATGAAGACATCCCTTTCTTTGCGGCGATTGTAGATTATGGAAAAGAGCAGCAGAAGGACAAATGATTAAAATCCATCATTACAACTCTCAAGAGAGGTGACACATATCAAAATTATCAAATATGAAATGGTATACTGTACAAAGAAGCTAAATCTATGATCATAGCAATACTGTACAAAAAAAAAGCTATGATCATAGATTTAGCTTCTTTGTACAGTATACCATTTCATATTTGATAATTTTGATATGTGTCACCTCTCTTGAGAGTTGTAATGATGAATTTTAATCGTTTGAGAAGCTACGATCCTATGGGACAGCAATGACTCTTGGTGGTACCAAAGCAACTTCGTAGTGAGGTTCTAAGAAATCTTCATGATGCTCCAACCGCTGGCCATCTCAGATTTGCCAAAACGTACAACCGAATAAGGAGGAAGTACCATTGGCCAGGGCTATATGGAAGCACACGGCGGTATGTATCACATTGCCGAGAATGCCAAAGATGGAAATCGCCGCCGCAACATCCACCAGGACAGCTTTATCCGATAAAACTCCCCGACACACCATTTACCAAAATTGAAATAGATCTACTTGGATGCTTTCCTGTTACTCAAAATAGGAACTGGTGGATTATAGTTTGCACAGATTACCTTACCAGATTTACAGTCACAAAGGCAATACTAACAGCTGAGGGCACTGAAACTGCCAAGTTTATAGTTGAAGAAATTGTACTGAAGCATCGTGCCCCCAAAGAAATGATAAGTGACCGAAGACACTACTTTCTGTCCAACGTTGTTAAAGAAGTAATTCATTTATGCAAGATGTCTCATCTTCTGACGACTGCTTTTCACCCTCAGACCAACTGCTTAACTGAAAGATTCAATAAGACATTGGCAGACATGTTGTCCATGTTCATAGACGTTGAACAGAAAAATTGGGATACTATTCTACCATTTGTAACCTATGCCTATAATTCAGCCAAACAAGACACAACGAGATTCAGCCCATTTTTCTCATTTATAGCAGAGATATCCAGTCTCCTCTTGACGTAATTTTCCCATACAGTATCGAAGATTCCGAAGATAGTTATGTGCAGCATCAAATCACTAGAGCTGAAGAAGCTAGACAGCTTGCAAAACTCCATATTCTTAAAGTGCAAACCACAGACAAGCTCTGATATGGTGAGAGACATCAACCTGTCAGCTACAACATCGGAGATTTTGTCTGGGTCTTCACTCCAGTACGAAAGGTTGGGTTATCCGAAAAGCTCTTAAGACGTTACTTTAGACCGTATCGAATAAAATGACAGCTCTCTGACGTGACGCACGAAGTAGAAAGTATGGAACAAAATAAAAAATGATGGAATTCAAAAGACATCGTTCACGTATTGAGATTGAAGCCCTATCTTGATTCAAAAGTACAACTAGACAATGAAAGAAAGCCCAATATTTTCAGGAAACCTGTCACAAGAAGCCAGACCAGATCGCAGTGGGATGCTGCTTCTTCCTAAGAAGGGGGAAATGTAGCAAAAATTGCTCTTTTCGACGCAGGACTCGAAACTCGAAGGTCCCGGGTTCGAAACCCATCAACGGCAAGATGCCTGATAATTGGTTTTTATGTAAATTTCCTTCTTGTTAATGTTACCTTATTTATGTAAATTTCCTTCTTATTAATGTAATCTTATTTATGTTAATTTCCTTCTTATTCTTCCAGAACATTCCGAGTCTGGAATATTTCAGCATGTTCACCAGCTGTATATAAGTAGCTCTTCTTTCAGTTTGAGTTAATAAAAAGACTTGAGTTTAGACTTGAGTACTTGCCTGTTCATTTGTAGGATCCCTTCATCTACGTGACACTATTAAACATGTTCCAATTTTTGCAAATTTAGCACGTTTATGTAGATAAATACTATCCAGATTCCAGACTTTGTACTATATATACATTACTTCTGTTTCCAAGAATCATATGATGACAATTAATTCTGAAATGATGCATTTCAGAAAGATTTATTATAAGCATTTTAATATTTTATAAGAGAAATTAAACCAAATTAAACAAAAGGCTACTGCAAAATTTTATCTTATATCCATATTGCATTACCAAAAAATGCTTTTCCAGGTATAAAAACAAGCCTAATAAATTACCCAATAATGAAAAGATTTCAAATTATTAGTAAATATAACAACTTTGAATATAAATAAGATAAAAATGTAATAATATAAAATAAGTATAAATACTATTTTTTCCCCCCACTTCAACTAAAAGAGACTTATTTCTTCTGCTCAGTTTTATCCTCCATGAAAGAAATTTCAGATATGGAAAGGGAAAACATAAAGTTGTTTCATGGGAAAAGAGACACATAACTCAGAAAATCATTCCACAAGAAAATTTTCAAATATCTTCACCTTTTCAGATTAAAGCAGAAATACTATTTGTCAAAAAAGATATTACTTAATCAAAATTCAGTAAGACTTATCACTCTGTCATTCCCTGTTTGTTTGCAGCTCATTCATGAATCAAAGCTTAATCATCCTGCCAAATTTCAACAATGATTTCTTATTATTTAAAATTCCAAATGAAAATATTTAATTTTTCATAGATGTTATGAAAATATATTAATTTTTCCTACTACGTTAAAGAAATTTTCTCTTCTAAGAACATTTAATAAATCATATACTGTAACGTTTATATTTTTATATTTTTCTTTAAGGTGCATAAAATGTACAGTTGAGACTTTTTTGATAATGCAAAAGATTTCACATCATTTATAGGTGATCAGATTAAAAAAAAATACTACATGTTTCCAACTCTAGACATATTAAAAATCTTTAATTTATTCTATTTTGACCCCACACTGATAAGCCCGTGTTTCACACATATAATCATCAAGGTAGACTAATTCTACATTACATACATATCACATGATCTCAGAATGCATATCTGTTAATTTAAATAATAATGATTTATATTACCTGGAATTCTTCTGGCCTCAGTTTGCCTTCTCTAGCTTTGGTAGCTAATGTTTTTGTATCTGAACTTATAGCAGATAACCCCTAAAAATTTAAATTTTTTTACTTAATAATATTTTTTTTTACAAAATTAAACACAATATTAAATTGCTGCAAATGCATATCATTAAATGTTAATATAAAAAATAAATTCCTCGTTCCATATATTGTGGAACTTTTATAAAATCTTTACAGTTCATGTCGTTATTAAAACTATAATGTGAGATTTCCTATATTTCTCTCAAAACTTATTCATGATATAATGAATAAAAGATATAAGCATTACATATCCTTTTGCCCCATTCTTATAATTTTTATATATGCATCTCTGAGTGAAATAAGTGAATGATTATGCAAAATTGGAATATACGACATGCACTATTAAACAATAACTGAAGCATAAAAAAATACAAAAAAAAAAAAAAAAAGATTAAAAAGAACTCAATCTTTAAAAATATTTACAAAAGTGTTGTTAAACTGAAATGCTTATGAATAATACAATGGGCTCTCAATTTTACAAATTTGTAGGTAGCATTAAAAATATTCATAAATGTGATTAGTTGTTAAAAAGGTTTCAACACGCTTTCATAAATTAGAAGAAAATATTCCACTCCTTTATGTGCAAAATTCAAATCTGCAAAGCTATATACAATTAATATTTTATGGATCAGCTAAAAAATAAGTGTTGTTTTACAATCATTAATTATCAAAACAAGCAACTTATGATGATCACCAAATTTGGAACCATTACTTACCAAAATATGCGGTTTTTGCCTTGTAATTATTTTTTAAACGTGGTAAAAAATTTCAAATTTTGTTCAGTAACAGAAGGCAATTTGATCACGGAATTCATTCTCATGGATCTCCACCAATTTTGCACATAAAAGCAGAGAGGCCTTTGCACCTAACTTATTAAAACACGGCAAATAATTTGCCAAATGGAAATTTGCTATACAAGCAGAATACAGTCAAAAGTCGTTAATTCGGACACCCATAATCCGGAATATACTATAATCCGGACCTCAAAGCTACAAATTTTCTGTGCATGCGTCGTGCGCCTAAGACACTTACGGCTGCGAATATGCATGTGTGCATGCACAAAATACGTTTACGAATGCGCTTTTAATGTATAACGGACGGTATAAGCTAAGCTAAAATTATCTAATTCAGTTAATGTTGCAGATTGCATTGTTCCTTAATCTTCGAATTGAATCCGGCTTATTATTTTTTGCAGACTGTTAGAGTAATTTTATAAAAATAAGCTTGAACTTTTGATTATGTCAAATAGAATTTCTGATATATATTTACTAATATGTAAAGGATCTACAAAGCGAAAGTATGTTTCGAAGTCCATTAAACAAAAAGTTCAATTGCTGCAAAAAACGGATAAAGGCATATCCTTTGTTTATCTAACCATTCCGAAATCTGTTTATAAATTTCACACTGCTCTGAGGCGGGAGGGGGAAGCTTCGGAGCGCGATGAATTGGAAGTTGATCTGTCAGCACTATCCTTATCTTCAGGGCAGATGTTTTTATTTTATTTGGCTTATAATTCCTTACTAAGTATAGTATTTCATGTCTATGTACTCCGTCTTTGATATGATTTAAATCAAGTTCCTCGTCATTATAATTCGCTTTCGATAGTGAAGAAAGTGACCCAGAGGTTATTGAAAACGAAAACATTTCCATTGACAAATTAGTCGGTATTCTCACATAGCAATTATAGGACTTGAGCCAGCGGAACTTTGTAACTAAACGAGAAATTATGTCTGTTTAATAGAATTAAAGAGAAAGTGTTATCACATGAAACGAAGCAACTTACATTGAAATAAATGTTTAATAAAGTAAACAAATAAATATTAAGCTTTTTCTTTTTGTAAATTTTGATACCCTTTAGATCATAATTGTTCTTTATTTCATAAATTACGGTTTCATATTTTTAATTTTATGATTTCTGCATGTCATCTTACCAGATTTAAACTGATGATCTATAATCCAGAAAAATCAATAATCCGGAATCGCCGAAGTCCCGATGAGTCTGGATTAACGACTTTTCACTGTATAAAAGGTTATCTTTTACATACCCAGAATTTTCTCATTATAGCGCTTAAATTATTTTCAAAAATTGTGCGAAGTGCTTAAATTGTTTCATAAAAATTTCTGAGAAAACTTTATGATTGGAAGTACTAGTTAGTCTTGATCAATTTAACCCTCACTGCAGCACGACTGCTTTTCTCGTCATAAGCTTGGCTGTTACTTCCTGTGTGTTACTTAGTTATTTAAATTTTTTAGTCCAAAGGGATTTGAATCCCGAAGGACTATTAGTTTTGTTTTGGCATTTTGCATCGGACTCATAAATGTCGGTTCTTTTCAAACTGTTGCCACAAAATGTTAGAGTCCTGCATTATATTTGAAGAAATTAAATAATGAAAAATCTGCATAAATGTATGTATATTTCTCGTATTGTGATAAAACAACGGTACGTAGAGTCATCGAATTTTGAATAACGTAATCCTCCAACGAATATGAGCATGTGGAAGACCAAATTTGAAATTTGAAATTTGTTTTATGATCGATTTCCTATTTTTTAAAACTTTGACAAATTTTTGATTAACAAACTCAAGGATTTCAAACCGAGCAATGGCAACGTTGTTCAGAAAAAACATTTTTATCTCCAGCGCGTGAGTCTCTGTATCGGAAATTCTAAAGATATGCTCGTTTTAAAACTATTTTGCGATATTGCTGTTGCACTGGATCTTATGGTTTAAGTGCGAGGAACATGATATTTAATAAAGAAAGGTAACACACAAAATGTTAAAAAACTCCCCTTTGGACGTAATTTAAAATCTGAAACATTTCAGATTTTGTTTTTTTTTAAATATTTTTTTAATGATCTAAATACTATCCTATTAAACTGAAGGTTATAAAAATGAAGAGTGACCAAAGTAATTATAGATCTACCTAATAATATTGTTTAAATACCACTCTTCTTGAACAAATTAAAAAAGCCAGGACATACAAAGAGCTAAAGAAATAAACCATGCAGCCATCTTTTTCCAGCATTCAGCATATTATATGTTAACTTTAAATAATGTAAGTCAGTTATTTACACTTAAATGCCACTATTTTTTAGCTTTTAATCATCTGTCTTAGTAAAATATTAAAAAAGAAATATAGCATCTTATTTTACTGCTTGTATACTGCACTTATAGAAGTGACTCCTGACAGAGTTAATTTCCAGACAGATCAAGTAAATGCAGTGAAACTATTTTATCAATTAAAAATTTAGGAGAATTAGAACTAAAGTAAATACTTTTGTTTAAAATGTAACATGAACAATATATTAAAGAATGTACAACACCACTTTCCTAAAAAAATAATATATTAAATTTAACATTAAAATAATCTTTCAATGAATAATTTAAAACCATAGAATTAAACAACAAAATGTTCTTTACTCACATAAAAGAGTAGTTAAATGAATGAAAATATTAAAAAATAACATCAGTTCATATACATACAGCATGGCAGATGAAATAAATACTGCTGCTTCTGATATGAAATTTGGATATCCTATTTTAAAATTAATACAAGACCCTTAATATTTTAAATAATTTGACCATTAATGGAGGAAATAATGCTTTAAAACTGAGTAAAGGCACAAACTGCATGACTTTCTTTCTTCTCCTCCAACTTACATTATAAAGTCTTTAATCCGGACGTCCATAATCCGGAATGATCTACAATCCGGACCTCAAAGCTACAAACTTTCTGCGCATGCATAAACACATTATACATTTATGCATGCGCATAATACCTTTATGCTCATAATACATTTACGCATGCACATTTAATGAATAACAGACGGTATAAGCTAGGCTAAAATTATCTAATTATTTTCAGTTACTGTTGCAGATTGCGTTGTTCCTTAATCTTCTAATTGGATCCGGCTTATTATTTTTTGCAGACTGTTAGAGCAATTTTATAAAAAGTAAGCTTGAACTTTCGATTATGTCAAAAAGAGTTTCCAATTCTGAAGCTGCCAAAGCATCTACAAAGTGAAAGCATGTTTCAGGTGTATCGCTTCCGATAGTGAAGAAAGTGACAAAGAAGTTATTGAAAACGAAAAAATTTCTATTGACACATTAGTCGGTATTCTCCACACAGCAATTACGGGACTTGAACAGCGGAACTTTGTAACTGAACAAGAAATTATGTCTGTTTATAGAATTAAAGAGAAAGTATTAGCACATAAAACGAAGCAACTTAAACAACTTACATTGAAAGAAATGTTTAATAAAGTAAACAAATAAATACAGTCAAAAGTCTTTAATCCAGATGTCCATAATCTGGACCTCAAAGCTACAAAAGGGTTTTTCCAATTCTGGAGCTGCCATAGGATCTACAAAGTGAAAGCATGTTTCGATGTCCATTAAACAAAAAGTGGAATTGCTGCAAAAAATGGATAAAGGCATGAAGAAAGTGACAGAAAAGTGATTTGTTTCTCTAACCATTCCGAAATCTGTTTATCAATTTTACGCTGCTCTGTGGGAGGAAGGGGGGAAGCCACGGTGTGCAATGAACTGGAAGTTGATCTGTCAGCACTATCATTATCTTCAGGGCAGATGTTTTTATAGCTTATAATTCCTTACTAAATGTAGTGCTTCATCTCGATGTACTCCAATATGATTTTCAATTTCCTCATCATTATAAATAGCACGAATACACATGAGATAGTTTTCTGGTTGCAATTTTCTAATTTTGACTATGCGTAATGTATGCTTTACACATGTGCGCGTTGAAAGAAATGTTTAATAAAGTAAACAAATAAATATTAAGCTTTTTTTTTTTTTTTTTGTAAATTTTGATGCCCTAGATCATAATTGCTCTTTATTTCATAAATTACGGTTTCATATTTTTAATTTTATAATTTCTGCATGCCATCTTACCAGATTTAAATTGATGATCTACAATCCAGAAAAACCCCTAATCCGGAATCACTGAAGTCCCGACAAGTCCGGATTAAAGACTTTGTACTGTAGTTCCAATTACAATAATGTAACAATGTTTTAGTCTTTTTTACAAACATATATCACTATAATAATTAATTTCACAGAATATATAAAGGGTGTTCAAAAAGTTATGAAATGACAATATGGGTATAACCCAAGTCTTTATGCACAAGTAATCACCACAGGCATGAGCACAACTATACCACTGTTTCAGATGAGCCAAAGGATTCCCTGTTCCCAGAATTTCTGTAGAAGCCAAACTTCCACTATGTCCTTCAGTTCATTGTCTGAGTTGAAGCACTTCCCTTTTAGATGTGTTTTAGTGGACCAAACACATGGAAATCTCAGGGAGACATGTTCAGGGAGATGCTCAAGCTGATCCCACTTGAACTAGGCCATTACTTGTGTGGCCTTGGAAAAGTCTGAACATGCATTATCATGGAGCAAAATCACACTTGCCCCAAGCAGCACAGGCCATTTCTATTAAAGAACTTGTGTACGTTATGGAGTGTCTCACAGTATATATCATAGATAACATTTTTTCCATGCTCGAGGAACTTAATGAATATCGGACCACAGACATTGAGAAAGACGGTGAGCATCATCTTGCCTGCTAAGGGTACAGCTCTGAATTTTTTAGGGGGAGATGACGATGCATGGTTCCATTGCATGTTGGGTCACATTGGCTTCAAAAGATGGCACCAGCTCTCGTCACACATGATGATCCGCTCCAGGAAAGCAGGGTCTTCATGCTATCAGAACAGGTGTTGCCGTGTTTCCACACACAGTTCCTTATGCAGTTTGTTGAACTTTTTCAGAACCCACTGTGCACACATCTTTTGGTAACCCAAAATATCATGCGCAATATTCCACAATGTTCCAACATTGGCCCTCACCATCACTGCCAACATTCGCATTGTTACATGCTGATCATTTCTCACCAGATCGTTCACCTTGTTGAGGAGGTTGGCCATGATTACCATGTTTGCTGGCATGGTCTTGGGTCATTACTGAAACACTCCTGGCTTTAGCAAGAACAAGCACTCCATTTTCTCATTTTGTTGGACACACAGTCTCCCCGTATATGGCCACCATTTTGTGATGAATATCGGCTGGTTTAAACTTCTACAATCAGACATTTTATAACACCCTGCTGCTCCTCAATTGTTGAATTTTACAATGTGAATGCTGTGATCTCCTCACACGTACCGCTACATCAATCGGATGAAACACACAACTGCCTGCTTCTCTCATGAGTCATGTGTGGGCACCCCACACTTGTGCACAACCAATGCTGGACACTATATTTGCATCCCTAGATATTCCACTTTGTTATACCAAAGCAGCATAGTCAAACTCCATTGTCAAATTCCAAGTCTCATTTGCAGCTTAAATCAGTTTGGTTGTTACAACGTTTCTTATCTTTTCATTTGAACACCTCTTGTATATCAAATTATATACAAGTAGCTCCTGTTTTTTTATAGTTCTCATTTCTCATTTTATTCATTTTTTAGAACTTTTAACTTTTTTTAAAAAAAAACAACTATAACCCATACGACCAAAGCTTAATTTCATTCTTTAGACCGTTTCGTACTTTTAAATAGAGGTTTTTGTTCTTTTGATGCAAAAACATTTTTATACATAAAGATGACAATTCACATTAGCGAAAATTCAAAAAATAATACGATATGTTTCTGATACATTTCAGCAACCAAACACTTTTGCAGCTTAAAAAGCAGTAGATTTGAATTATGACAACAATGTTCTAATTTTTCAAATAATAAGCAGATGCCTCTTTATAGAATAACATACACCAAAAATTAGGTTTTAAATTAAAACATACACATTTATTTTAGGATAACTGATTTTTCAGATTCTAGGAAATAAGAATATACCATAAACATTGAAATGAAACACTGAATATTTAGCTGAAAAGATCTGAAAACCTAGTAATGCAATACTACTAATACATCTTCATAAAAAAATAATATCTGTATGAATAATACCTTAGTATCAGCATTAAAAACTATTGGGGTGATAAGGCCAGCATCTGTGCTAACTGCAACACTCACATCAACACTGTTATACCTATGAATGAAATTAAACATATTTATCAATCTGAAGAGATGATGCAAAATTGTTATTTATTCCTCAACTGTTATAGTCAGAAGACTGAAATAATCAGTAGACAGATATAATGTATTTTTAATTATAGCATTTATAAATAGCCTGGACTTCAAATAATATGTTTTAACTTTTAATAGTAGTAACTTTTATTTAAAATGATAAATATATTTTTAGAAAAAGGTCTGTCTTCAAAAGTAATTTTTTATAATGACATATTTTCTGAAAATTCCATTCAAAATTTGTGAAAATTCATAGTAATAAAAGCAGAATAGTTTCAACACACTTATCAGAATTATACTTATCAGAATAGTTATACTTATCAAAATAGTTATTAGAATTTACTTAGCTCTTCAAACAGCTAAATTTGAGATTCTGAAAACAAGAATAGTATTTTCAAAATTAAAAAACATTTTATTTAATATTTCTTTAAAAAGAAGTATCAAGACAGTTTTACAATCTCTCTTCAACCATTGGTCAGTATATTTTGAAACATGGTATTTGGTTGAATTTTTTTACACATGGTATAAAAGAAACATCTTCCATTAAAAAAAAAATAAATAAAACAGTTTTCAGAAAGTGTGTTCTGATAAATCAATGTTCATGCATGATAAATTTCATGTATTCCAAAATCCATAAACTCAGTAATATATATCATAACCCATCCTTGTTTAAAATAAATATTTTATATAATTGTTATTATTTGTTTTTTCCCAATGGTATGTAACAATACACAAAACTATATCTGCAACAGAAGGAAGAAAAATGGAGGAATTAAGATCAAACTTTCACAGCATTACCACAACAGTATAACAATAAAATATGTGAGGACAGAAGACAAAGTGCACAATGTAAGAAAAATTATAACAAAAGTGTAGATAATTTTTAAAATGCCCTCATAACTTCTCTCACTTGGTTAGATTCTGATGCTTTTCTCACATAAATATCCATATCCAACATGAAATTTTAATACTACAAGTTAAATAAGTAGAATCAATGTTACGAACCACAAAATCAAAACTAAAGATAAATATTATCAAAAGGAAGAAATTTTGATATAGAGAAACTAATGCAAGAGAAGTTTCCTATTGTTATTTTCTGGCATTATGCTAGCCATCATCTTGAAATTCCTGTTTGTGATACAGTAAACAATACTTCATTTAAGAATGTTGGATAATTACAGAAATGCTATCGATTTTAGAACTGCAGTGTCTTAAAACTGGCAGAATTTTAAGCACTCACGGGATTTAGTCTAGCCTTTGCACTATTTCTTCAGAGTAGCATGACTCTTTATCCATCACTTATCCATCACTTTCAGGAGATATCAGAAGTAAAAGATCAGTGCCTTTTATAAAGGTCTTTTAAGAAAAACACCTCCATATAAGTTTGTTCTTGATATCACCATATGAGTCTGGTCTTACTTTCTATGTGATGCTGCACAATAACTTTTGAAATGAGTCCAGATTTACAAGATAGGAATATTTACTTGTACAAAGTATGCAAAAAATACAGAATACAGTTGAAAATTTAAAAAAAAGAATTAAAAATTCTGAGTTGTATTACAATATGCTTCTTCAAGGTTACAAAAACATGAAATTAAAGGGGCCAAGCTCCACATAAATGAAAGTGTTTGCTTGCATAGGTTCCAAGGATTGACCAGAAAAACCTGAGCTGATATTAATGGTATCAAACTCAGAAAGTTAGTTTGAAAAAGACTATTTTTGCAAGAAAATAAAGTCCTAGACATATTATTTCATCTAAAACACACTCTGGACATAATAACAATATCTTTCAGGGAAAGCAAAAGAGGGATCTTGCACAATCTTTACAGTAACTTTATCTCTGCTTGTGCAAAAAACTTCTGCACTAATGTTCATCAGGATTGTATGAATGCCTCTCACACAATTTAATCCTAAGAAATATGTCCACTCATGGCTATTTCGAGGTAGTAATTTTGCAGTTGATACCAAAAGCAACATAGAAAAAATTAGGGAATGTCAGAGAATATGGCAAAAGTGTGAAGAATGGTAATACAGAAAACTTGGTGAGTACTGAATTTTTTTTTTTTTTCGTTCTAGGTAAAAAGGAGAGATTATAATTATTATATTTTAATTATGTTACACATCACTATATTACTTTATCATTTTAAAAAAAGAAACTTATATCTGCTTTTCTCTCCCTCACACATAATGAACTTTCTTATATTACTTTGGATCTGTGTACATGAAAACTAATATTAAAAAATCAAGAAAATAATTTTATTTCATCATTAAAATGTAATAGATTGTTATACAAAAAATACACATATTCTAATATGTGTCAAAGATTACTCTATTGTATATGAATTCATACAAAATTATGCTTCAACACAAACCCCTATCCTTTGTGTCCTTATTGAATATTTTATCTTCAGTAAAACTCTACAATAATGGTAGTCAATTTTTATACCTTCAAAGGCCAATCAGTGTTTTAGAGTCATGAGCAGCACATAACATACAAGGTTTAATAAATATACATTGGAATAATAAACACCAAATATGTCAAGACTCTTATGAGACTGATTATAAATAATCATTGTGTGAAGACAGTCTCAAAATCGTTAGAAATACAAAATATACACGAATTTGGATATCTGGCAAATGCTAACAATTTTTTTTTTAATTTATTCTGCTGGCTACCAAATAAATAAAAATAATAAATAAAGAAAAATTTTAAAATTACAAAAGGCATAATAGATGCAATTTATCAGCTGGCCACTGTTCTATTATGCACGCAAGAGTACATTAACAGCTTAGTGATTAGCTAACATAATCTCAATTTCTAACATTTGCACTTCCTTCATCACAGATTTTTATGCTTCATGACCCAGCATGATAACATAACATAACATAACATTAGTGTCGCTTCCTTCTTATGAAAAGAAGGAAAAGAGCTTAGGCAATGTTCCCCATTGCTCTTCCACCGTTTGATCATTTAAGTCAAAGGTTTTAAATGGTAACTCCCGTGAAAGGTAAATAATAAATAAGTAGATAAGATTCCAAACTGATACCAAATATATAGTATCAGCAAAAGATCCCATCTCTAAATTCAGGGTGTCGGTTAAATCATTAAAACTTCCCAATTGGATGAAGAGCTGATTCAATCCCTCCCAAACCACCTAATGCAAACTCTTGACCAAACAATGGTGCGATGGTGAGTCTTAAAACATAAATAAATAAATTAAATTAAATAAGGAGGGCAGAGATACTTTATTAAGCCAAATGGCCAGGTGGTGTATAAAGATTTGATATCTATTTCCAAATTATATTCCAAAACACAGCTATGAGAGGGAAATCCCTGCATAGTTCCTTTTACAAAAAAAAAAAAAAAAAAAAAAAAAAAGAACTCACAGGGCACATCAATGCTTGTTTCTTGTGGTTTCAAATTCACCTTACCTGTAAGTGTTTAGTATACATCAGAAACCCTATTTTGCCAGAGAGCCTTTTGTATACAAGGGCTTGATCAAAGCTAACAATTTGAATTACCGGTAACAATTTGAATTACCTGGAGTAAGTTAGTTCTACTGAGGTGTATGAGTTTACCTGATAAGTTAAGTGTACTGAGCACCAATCTAGAATGAGCACAGTCTGGTAGTTTAGACCATATATCATCATGTTTGTTCTTTATCCAGCTTCTTACTTTTTTTTTAACAGTTTGATATGAAACTGGGTAAAATGGTTCTGGGCCAGACATGGGTAATTGCGAAGTATCTTTAGCTACTTTATCAGCTAGTTCATTTCCAGCAAAATCACAATGGCCTGGGACCCAAACTAAACGAATGGTGTTATGGGCCTGAGCCAGAGAATTGAGATCTTGAGTACAGTTCAAGACACAGTTTTGTAACTTGACACGATTAGCCAGGACAAGGATGGCTGATTGGCTGTCAGAGAGAATATATATATTCTTATCAACTGTATTTTTAGTTAAGAGCTCCCTGGCAACCAGAACATCGGCTTGGAAAACAGTTGTTAGTTTACCAAGGTACAGATGAAATTTAAAGAAATCTCCAGATCCCTTGGTTCTTATAATAGCTCCAGCTCCTGTGAAGTTGAATTTTGATCCATCTGTGTAACATTCAACTGATCCTGTTAGAATTAGGTGAATTAGAGATTCTATCTCATTCCTTTTGGGTATATAAGTTGAGAATAGTTTATCTGGAACTATTGTTTTAGTAATTGCATCTTTGGGCATATAGATCATAGGGATCTCATTGCCCAAGTCCAGGCATATATCAATGTGTTTTTCCTACTCTATTCTTACTATTTCTGGCTTTTATGACCGAAACCTGTCCTTTGGCACCATGTGCATTTTTATTCAACCTATACATCGCTTTAATTGCTTCTCCGCTCAAGAATAATTTGAAGGGTGAAATTTGCAATAAAAATTCTAATGCAGCAGTAGGGGTACTGTTTAAAGCCCCAGTAATGCATAGGCAAGCAAGTCTTTGCACTTTTTGTAAAATGTTTAAATATGTGCTTTTGTTAATAACATTGATCCAGACCACTTAATCTGCAAGAAAGCACTGGCCAGATATGGCAGTATAAATCCATAGAGTAGATTTTGGGTTAAGGCCCCATTGTTTACCAACGATTCGCCTGCAAAGTACTAGTATATTTGTCGCTGTTTGTGCCTTTTCTTTTATATGGGTGATCCATGTGAGTTTACTGTCCAGGTAACATCCTAGGTATTTAACGCATTCCTTATGTCTGATAATCTGGTTACCCAAATGCAAATCTGCTAGTTTCCATTTCCTTTTCCACGTGAAAACTATGACCTCTGATTTTTCAGCAGAGAAAGATAGGCCATTTGTTTCACCCCAGTGCGATAGACCCAGCATGATACACAGTTTTATTATTTAAACAAATTTAAATAGTGGTTTTATTATTTAAACTCCTAAAATGCTGAATATGTGAACATTCCAGACAATTGAGCAAGCAAGAATGTGTAAGTCATGGTAGAAAACCCAAATGGGTGTACAGTCTAAATTTACAATCTAAAATTATCAAAAGCTATCTTATCTGTTATCAACTTGAATTTCAAAAGCCTGCATTTAAAATTATACACAATTTCAGCGGGAAAAGTGCATTTCATTTTTATGCTTCATGACCCAACATGATACATATAAATAGTGCAAACTCCTAAAATGCTGAATATCGAATTTGTAAATAAATGCATTTCAGATATAAAACTTCATATATTTGATAGGCCTTAAACATATGAGAGTTGAAACATCTTATTTGATTATGAAATTTCACTGAACCATGAAAGATAGGAGAGATGCTGCCAAACTTGTACCCATCATTGTAGCAGAAAAACCAAGTATTTAATAGAAAGACAACATTAAGCAAATACAAAGTTAAACTACATGACTTAACTCACATATTTCATCACAAAAGCAGAAACTTGTAAGAAGTTTCTTCAGTGATTGCATCAGATTTTAGTATACCATTTTTACAAGGACTACTTTTTTTAGGAATGCATCAACTTAATTATTTTTTTTCACTTGAAACAAAGAGGTGCCCCTCTATAAATCTTGGCAAGGTATGAAAGGGATGCAAGTTTATACATAAGTGGAATTTCAATAAAGATTTTTTTATTTATCTCATAGAATATGGATTACAAATTATAATTCCTTAATTGCTGTCAACACCAATAAATGCAACCTTTTTGTGGATAATTTATATGTCTTTTACCAGAAAGACAACTATTTCAGCAAAATCAATTGATAAGATGATAAACCAAATGCTTGCCCACCTGCTGTCTAAGTTAGCAAATTCAAGAGAAATATACCATTATGCCTTACTTTTATATACTTTTTTTGCCTTCCTCAAATTCCTTTTTGCAAGACAGAACTTGCTATAACTTTGATCAGCTTCAATAGCAGCACCCATAAAATGAAGCTTGTAAATTTCAATGAAAAATTAAATACAAATATTTAAATTATGCAATTAATTCAAAGTTTATTTCATCTTACTGTCTGATAAAAGTCTCTTGCCATGATGAATTCACAGCAGGAACCTTCTTGCATGCTAAGGCAGCTGCTTTCACAATAAAATCGTTCACTGATAATTTTATTCCATCTTTGCTTAACATGTCATTCAAATCCATTCTTAACCTAAAAATAGAACATAAATTACAACATGCAACAAATCAGAAGTAGAGAGTAAAAATAAACATATTCCAAAGTTTGTAAGGAATATTGTATGAAAAGTAACCTTGAAGTACATTACAGTCCTTTCACTTAATTTTATACCATATAATTGAACTCTTTAGAAACTGACATAAACTTTCTGATTATACAAATTTTCACGATTTAAAAAAAAAAAAAAAAAAAAGATAGATAGATAGATAAAAAAGACAGGAAGAAAGAAAAAGGAGCATCTATAAATCACTGATGGAAAAACAGAATAGAAACAACCACCTACATTAATACTTTAATATAAATACTGTACAATTAAAACATATATCAAACGCCAAGATTTTTAAAACTTTGTTTAATAATCATTTATTTGCAATTTATTTTCCTTCATACTATATTTCATTTAAATAAAATACATTTTACAAAATAAGTGATTATGCAATTTAAACCTAGACTACACATCAGATCTATTTTTAATAACATTTTAATAATCATGGTGTTTATTTAATAGTTTCTTTTCTCCGTATTTAAGTAAAACACATCTTAAAAGTTTAAAATTATTATACAAATAACTTCAACACTTTAAAATTCTCCAAATAAATTTTACATTAAAAATTACACTTTAAAAAATACTCAAAAATGTAAAAGGTGAAAGTTATAAAGTCTTGTGGGGGGGGAGGACACAATCAACAAAAAGGAAATACAGAGAAAATAAATAACTTGGAATGTTACTTTGTTTGGAACTAAAGAATAAATTATATGTTCTGAAGCAACCACAGACAAATGTTAATTCAGATCTTAAATGAAATAACTGCTTATCAAATTTCAAATGAAATAATTGCAGACATATGCTTTTCTTACACATAAGTACTGCCAGAAACAATGCAAATTATACTGCATGCAAATTACACTGCATGCAAAGAAATGGAATAAAACTCCATATGAAACTAAAAGGAACAACAGGTATTTTGGAAAGAAAGGAGAATAATGCATGCATGATATGTAAGTAAAATACTCACAGGTTCTAACATATGTGATCACTAACTGCGAGATTAAAAGAATTTTAAGAACTGGTTTATTGCCTAAATAATCTATAAATATAGATATTAAATAGAGATAAAGCTTAAATAAATTCAAAATTTAATTTTAGTAAATGTTTCACAGGTTTAAAAATATTTTAGGGGCCAGATCTCTGCACCACTGTGAACTGATTGAAAGTTACCATTATTGGAGCAAAAAACAGTGCAGTGGTAAACATTTTAATATTGAAATAAACATTGTTTAAACTAGTTGAAAAAACAAACTCGACAAAAATATATGCCTTAGGTTGATTCCATCTGTCTATTGCAACATGTTTCTAATCATTAATGCTTTCTTTGAAACACATATTTTCTTTTGTTTGATTTTATAAGTTATTAGATTTGGCAGATATTCATTCTTCAGATATCCTCAAAGCCAAAAGTCACACAGTTTTAAGTCAGAACAGTGTGGCAGTCATGCTGTTGGAAAATGGTGGCTTTTGATTCTATCATCTCTGAAATGAGCAGTCAGCAGCTGCTTCACAGGAATAGCAATGTGCGGATGAGTGCCATCTTGCATGAATATTGTTCGATCCACACACTGACGTTGCTGAAAGGCCAGAAGAACATGGTTACGCAAACAATTTTGCGTATCTGCAGAACCTTGTAAATGGAAATTAGCTCCGTCAGACCACTGTATGTTCCAAGGCCATTCATTATTCCCTTTTCGTCTGGACAAGAAATTGTAGTGCAAATGATTCACGTGTTTCCAGGTCAGGAGGTAGCAACTGCTGCACATGAGTTATACTGATAACAGTGAAAGATGTTCCGCAGGACTTTATGCACTCTGCTGATAGGCATATCCAACATTTGGCCAATTCCCGGTGCAGTGCTGATTCCTGCATCACTGGTTGTTATTTCTGGCAATGCTGTGGCCACATTTTCCACCACCGAAATTGGTTTTCATCCTCTACCACTTTCACGTCAAATGAACTGGTCTCTTCGAATTTATCTATCACTTTTTGCAGGCCATATGTGGTCATTGGGCTGGATTTTATGTCTTTTCATGTCCAGAGCTTCCTGATATCTGTCAATGCACAATCACTATTCTGACAGGAAAGCTTTAGGAGAAGAGCATGATCCTTTTTCATCAGAGTCATGATGAAGCACTCAGGCAAAATGTTATGTCTGTCATTAGTGCTCTGCATTTTATCTTAGCCATGTCTGCAGAGCGCATGTTACGTCTTAGTAATTTACATGTCAACAGCAATGTGAACCCTGACAGTGCCATCTATTGGCATATTTTGAAACTACTTTTTTTCCTTCTCCAAACAAAATTCCATCCCTCATTATTGTTCTAGTAAAATATCATGTCATTATGACAAGTAGTTTGAAAGTTGTTCTGGGTCATTGTTCAACTCATGGCCATTGTTCTGGGTCCCAGTTACATCTAACTTTAGAGCGTACTAAGCAATATTTGAAATTAGCTATGCTAAAATATGGCTTATAATGCAGCTCTCTCATTTAAAAATCCAAACTTTGCAACTACCATGTGTGCTGATTTTGCAAATGATGTGATGTGTGCAAATGTGCCGATTTTGCATGCAGAAATGAAAAAGTTTTTGCAATTGTTTTCGGTTGTTCCATATAATTTTTTTCATGACTCAAACTATGAAGTGAACCTTACTTGATTATGCAAATATAATTCCAAAGCCTTCTGCTTCATAATAACATCATCCACATTTGAAAATGTATTTCTTACACAAAAAACTTCAGAAAAATATTTTTCCATAATGCATGCAACTTATCACATCACTTCTTTTAAATTCCTGACCTGATTCCCCTTCCTTTTTGCATTATAAAGTTTGTTATGATGTCTCTTTATATGCTTAATTTATTTTACACCCATTTCAGCATATAGTGTTGAACCAGTGGGCTAATCTATTACTGCCCAGGGCTATATGCATATTTTTTGACATACAATGTATACTGACTATGCAAATATGTAATATTATTAATAAAATTTGTCTTTTTATTATTTGTATATCTTAGCTGTTGATTTACAAAACAAAAATGGAATAGTTTTAGCTAGCTTAAATGCATGGGTATCCTTCATACTACATACTGCAACAATAAGTATGAATTATAGCTAAAATGTTATAGGTTAAAAATCATAAAATATCATAAAAATCAATGCAACATCATAAAAAGTGTAATATATCAAAGAAAACATAAACGATTGCACAATAGTATGTATACAGCTTCAGTGTTAACATACCGTAATATCCTATCCATTTTAATATCTACAGAAAGATAATAATGGGGAATAGTCTGCTTTGACTGTAACAACCGCCGAGCTATAACCTAAATGAGAAATTAAAATAATTTTCAAAAAGATTATAATTAGATTAAAAACTATTCATACACAAGACCTATTTTAATGAATAAAATTATTTTTCAAAGTCAAAAAAATTTAAATCTGAAAATTTCAGACTGCAATTCATCAGTTAGATAAAAGTTAAATTGATTAGTTAAATAAAGGTCAAACACCCAAAAGAACAGTTACTATTAAACATTTAAAAAAAATGAACAATATTAAAAAATGTAAAACACCATAAAAAAATTCATGCACTTGCTAGATAACATATGATATTCTTTTCCTAATGTTAAAAAAGCTGCAAATATTCATAAAAATTATCAGTTGGATATCCTATAGATACAATGCATTTTAATTTATATCAATCATATAGATTATTAAAAAATTAAGATTTAGATTGCTATTAGGAAATGCAATTATTGCTTTTAAAACACAATATTTGAATTAATGGTAGCCTGATTAAACCTGAAAGATAAATTAAAGATCTTATGCTATGCTGAGAAGCAACATGCTGAGGATCAGCTATGCATGAGGCAGCATGGAAGATAAATTGAAAGTTTTATGTTTTGCACAATGGGCACACTTGTTGAGGCATGACAAATGTTACTTACAGTTTCTTTCTTTCATTCCCCTCCTTTCTTTTTTTAATCCATCAATTTTTTAGGTATGATTGCATCTAAGGATTTTTTGTGTGGGCAATAACTTAATAATACCCCTTTCACATAATTAAGAATAACTGATACAAACTCTTTATATAATGCTTATGTATATATGTATACCTGTCGCATATTAGTCATAGGTATATCCACAAAGGGAGCAGATGACACAACAGGAGCAGCTGCAGTAGTTGGCATAGCACCAGCTAAATCTTGAGCCCTTATACGACCTCCAGGTCCTGAGCCTTGAACACTCTGTTCAATTTATTAAAATGCATGAATCATAACATAGTTTTATAATGGTATTACTTTCTTAAAAACCATACTTACCCATTTACAGTTAGACAAAATAGAAAAAGCAAACAATTCAGTATTAAAGCATATAATATATGGTGCTAGAAACATTTTTTATTAATTGTTAGTAAAATATTCATAAAAATTAAGAATTAAGGATATTATAAATCCTATTAAAGGTATTGTAAATTATATCAATTAGGTAACTTCTGAAAATAAAATAAAGGAATTAATTATTAAGAAGTATATTTCTTGTATTTAATATCTCTCAGGATGGCAGTGCTTGCTAAGCTATATGGCTGATAAATGCTCTCGTAACATAATGCAATGCAGTGTACAGACCCAAGAAATTGGAAAGATTCTACTATAAATAATTTTAATACCAAAAAAATTATTTTGTGAAGATGGTGAAACTTAAATGACTGTTTACTGAGTTATTATAAAGAGATCTTGATCAACTTACTCAAATATAAACTTATCAAATTTACTCATTTCATTATTATAATGTACAAACGTAATTAAAAATCAAATATATCATAATTTATTATATTTTTTATTTAATTTATTTGGCTTGTTTTAATCCCAGACATTTCCACACAAGCTTTCTCTCTCTTTAATCAAACAGTATTTAATTATTATTGATTTTCTTCTGGTCTATACCAGCATAAAGGAGACTTTTTCACCGCCTACAAAAAGTTTCCTGTCTATGGACAGATGACCTTATGTAAAACTTTCAAAAGATAATTAATAAATACTCGTGTTATACATGATTGCTTATTTAGCTAATTATGGCAAAGTTCATAAAAAAAATATCAGCCTCAGAAGGGATCCTTTATGTGGGACATTTTAAAGAAAATTGCTTTGTATTCATTCATGGGGAGGGATTACAATTAGGAAAATACAAAGTCATGCAGTGAGAACGAAATGTATGGCAAATGCTAGGCTCCTGAATCTTATTAAATTGGCCCCTGTTACTTAAAACTCCATAATAAATATAATAACAACAAACTCTTTGAAAATATAGAATGTTTTCTTTTAACAATGTCCCTATTATAAAAAAACAATATATATATATATATATATATATAGAAGTAATGCATGAAAGGTAATTTATAATTAGATAAGTGTTTAGCTAAAATCATAAGCTGCATAATAACTATACTCATGAAAATTTTCATTTACAGAAACAGTACTTAACAGTAGGTTTTGCTAAATGTGCAGTTAATGTTTTCATTCAAATACTGTTATCAAATGGCAAAGGTTCTGGCTATTTGCATAACAGAAACATAGAAAATACATCACTTATTGTGATCAACAGTTTGCTTAATATGATCCAAATATTATAGAATAATTTTTTTTTTTTAATTGAAGTAAAGTCACCAAGTAAAAGACAAAGTCACCAGAATAAGTTAAAAACAGATGCAGAGTGACAGGGAAATGCTCCCAAGTAAGGAATTAAGTCAACAAATAGCTTAGTTTTGATTTTAGTCACATTGATGTAGCGAAGGAGGAGACAAGGGGGATGCCCTGGGTGCCGCTCGCAGAGAGGCGCCAAATGGTCTCCAAACAAGATTTTCATCATGTCACTGTGGTTTTTTCGGGATGGGGGGGCCAAAAAGGTATTTTGCCTCGGGCTACAGTTATGCTCGCTACTCCCCTGTTTAGTCAAAACATTTCAAACGAAGCAAAAAAATTTGATGTAAATTTTTAATTACTCTATCGATTTTGAGGACAATCAAACATAGGTCCCTCTTCTTCAAGGGTAAAAAAAAATTTAGCCCTGCTAAAAGAAGTTATATTTTTATCTCATTTAAAATTTTACATTGGCATGTTCTCTTCCAATAAAGGTGCCCTCTGAATATTAAGATTAGGGATATGGAATCAATCAAATAAGTTCCACAAATGTTATAAAATATTCATAAATGAACTTTTGCATTAAAGACATTATTAACAGTTGACAAAAAGTTTTTGCATTTTTCTAATTGAAATGCCTTAAAAGTATCTATTTATATATTTCTAGTTATTATTACATTAGTTAAATTCCATTACTATTTTTCAAAGGATTTTTTTATTGTTTCATGTTAACAAAATAGCTGTGGTCAAACATGATCCGATTAAATGGTGCCTACCATATATCTGAAATGATTACCACATAATGCAGATAAAATTTGTAGCAAAAATCGTATGATCACATACATTTGCCCTTGGATTAGTTCAAGATAATCTATATCATACCTTGAAATACACAGATCAGAAAATATGACAATTTTAAAAAATGTTTTGGTAATATGCACATATTAAAAACATTTAGTATTTAATTAAATTCATTCTTCATAATTTCTGCAAAAACTGCTCAAATGTGAAATAGAATTTTATTCTACTTCATTAAATACAAACTGTTCATTAAAAGCAAACTGTTCCTAAACAAAGTCTCTTAATGCACAGTATACTCAATAACCTGTTACGCATATCTCATGTAGGTTTAGGCTAAGATTTAAGTATTACAACACAATAAACACAAACAATGGATATACTGATTCCTCATTCCATAAACAATTTTTTTTAGATATCATCTAGGTACTATCCAATACATTAAGAGGATAATACACAGAAATATACAAACAACTGCTTAATGTATCAAGAGGAAATAGACAAATTCTTCAAAAATCATCATCTCAATCTGCCATCAAGCATTCACTTTTCAATCTGTCATCAAGCATTCAATTTTCAATCTGCCATCAAGCATGATATCATTCTGAATAATGACACGAGTTGCCTAATTATCCCATAAGCAAATATTCACAGTAATACCCTCATATTCAAATGCTCAAGGTAATTTTAAATTTAGTATTAATACAATAATGTATAATGATGGTAGCAGAATTGAAGGGTTTCCCTTAGTTTGCATAACCAATTATTTTAGCTTGGTATCTTTCCTGAAATTCTCATTTTCCCCCTCATATTTCCTCGCCAAGATGCAATTTAAAATTAAGTGATGAATATATAAAAACAGATGAAATTGGCAGTTTATTCAAAGCGTGATTTCGCTAGCCAGCAAATGTTACTATTTTGTCCTTGCTGTTGTTACCTGAGTTGCTAATATGTCTTTTGGTCATTTATTTATAATATATCACCGGGTAGGTTGATAAGTCAGTTTATTAGCCTTAAACTAAATTGTTAGTCCAGCACTACTATTCAATCTTTGAATTTATTGTTAAATCATTCTTAATTTCCACTGCAAGTAATCAGTGTTATTGTAAACATGAAGTATGTGTATTCAAAAGTTTGATGAATAATAAAGGGTTTATTTTACCGTTCTTCTGTGCTGGTATAATTCATGCCTGTGTGAGAAGTCCCCAGTTTTCTTGTAAGATCACATTAACTTTGATACCAAAGAAAGTTACAACTTACAAGCGCTCCTTATGCTGCATGTGACAAAAGCCTTTGACTGTGTCTGGCATCAGGGGCTTGTTTTCAAGCTCATCAACCTTGGATTGCCTAGAGAATTAATTCTCCTGATTTATTCCTTTCTGCAACATTGCAAGTTCGTCTCACTAGGCAATGAAACCTCTACTCTGAGACCTATAAGATCTAGTGTCCCACAGGGAAGCATCCTCGGACCAGTTCTTTACCTGTTTTATATCTCGGAGTTTCCTCATCCTGGACTTGACAATTACTCTCTTCTTGCATGCTACGCCGATGATATGGTGATAGATATCAAGTCTATAAATGGTAATCATGCAATTGATAAAATGCAAGATTTTCTTTACACTGTAGGGGAATGGTGCACCAATTGGAGAGTTAAAATTAACACCAGTAAGTCTCAGCTTTTAATCCTTCACAAAAACAAAAAAATGCACCAAGTTTAAAGAACTTTTCGTTTTCAAGAGCCTGTTCCATTAGTTACAAAAGCCAAATGCCTAGGAATGATTCTTAACCATAATCTCACTTGGACCAACCATATTAAGAATTTTAAAAATAAAGCAATTGGAATTATGTGCAGATTTCTTCCAGTAATTGGAAAATTTTCTAGCCTTAGCCCAAGAGACACATTTATACTACTTGTATCCGACCTATTCTTTGTTATGCATCTCCAGCTTGGAATACTGCCTCTCCTAATCAATTACATCAACTTCAAATAGTGCAGAATAAATTTGTTCATATTATCACTGATGCTGACTTTCTCATCCAAAATGAATTTCTTCATAGAGATCTTAATCTTGAAACCATCACAGAATTTATTAAAAGAACAAATGAGAAATTCTTCTCTAAAGCTGTCCAATGCGACTATGTGAACTATTATTTCCAAGTCTTCAACTACAAAATACTCAATGAAGACCACAACATAAGACCACTTGCTGCTCACACCTTCATGGGATGAAACTTCTGCTTCTTCTCTTGCTCCTCAATTGGAGGCTGTAATTTCTTTCATTTTATCTGATAAAGACAGTGCTGTACTATAAGTTGTTTGGATTGCTAGTGTGATGTTGTAATAATCGTTGTGTGTTGATTTTCTGTTGTTTGGGTTGAATTTGTATAGTTTTATAGTAGTATTGAACTTTTCTTGTTGTTGTATAACATTTTGAACCATGTTTTGCATTTGTCATTTCTCTGAATTGTCAAGGATCCATTCGGATTTTCTTCATCTTGACAAGTTCCGTTCACCTGCTAGATGCCTTTGGCCTTTTTCTTTTTGATACCCCTCTCACTTTTCCTTTCTCCGTTTTCTCATCCAAGATGTTTTCTGTTTCCTGAATTCATTATGTCATGTGCCCTTGGGCTTAATTTAAGAAATCAGCAATGTTGCACCTGCAATAGCTCGGTAATATAGAACTGTCTAAGTCTACAACTTACAAGTGGCACTCAACGTTGGGCATTGAACTCTGTATATTATAATTTAGACTTGGTTCTGCCGGTTGGTAAAAAATCCACTACTGAGATAGAATTGAGAATGGCTGCTTTGCCCACTATTGGAGAAAGATTTCCAACAATGCACTGGTTGCATGTGTACACCAATGGTTCTGCTTTATGAGCTAACAGGAATGCTGGTGCAGGAGTTACTCTTGGCACTTTAGCAAGGCCGTTGCTGCAAATTTACGAAGTATAATGCTGAAGTGGCTGTTGTCCAACTGACCTTGACTGAAATCAGTAAAATAAATTATCATAACATTGTGATATTTATTAACTCACAGGCCACTAATTAAAGCAATTTCTTCAGTCATAATTTCAAAACAATGGGTTTGTTCTCAATTGTCAGCTAGTGGTAAATTCTCTAATAAATAATCGTCACAATGTTACTCTGCAGTGGATCCTACGTCATTGTAGAATCACGGGTAATAAGCTTGCCGACACTCTGGCCAAGGCTGGATCTGTCCTTCCTCAACCAAATCCTCTTGTTTGCTATCAAAGTGCTAAGAGAATCATTGCAGCCAGATGTGGAGCTCATCTTCAACAGAAGTATGGGGACTATACGAAGGGAAAGATTTGAAGTTCCCTGATGGAGAACCCCATTCCTTGCAACCTACTTACACCTGTTGGTGTCACTAACTTTAGATTAAAAACTGGACACAACTACCTCATGAAACACCTACACAGATTTGGTTTTGAAGACTCTTGATCTTGCCCATTATGCGATATTGACGACATGTGCGGTGACCATTTGGACACTTGTTCTGGACTTAATGATCTGGCAATGGCTAATACGGTCAAAATTATTCTGCTCTTTTTAATGTTTCTGTACTGTATTGGGCTACCTGTCACAGACTAATGACTGTCATGTCATGCCTTAGTCTGGCATAGGATAAAAATTATAATAATGTAGATAGAAAACATTTCTCAAAAAAAAATTTTTTTTGAACATAATACAGTCAAAAGTCGTTAATCCGGACTCGTCGGGACTTCGGCGATTCCGGATTATTGATTTTTCCGGATTATAGATCATCAGTTTAAATCTCGTAAGATGGCATGCAGAAATTCTAAAATTAAAAATATGAAACCGTAATTTATGAAATAAAGAACAATTATGATCTAAAGGGTATCAAAATTTGCAAAAAGAAAAAGCTTAATATTTATTTGTTTACTTTACTTTATTAAACATTTCTTTCAATGTAAGTTGTTTAAGTTTTTGCTTCGTTTCATGTGATAATACTTTCTCTTTAATTCTATTAAACAGACATAATTTCTTGTTCAGTTACAAAGTTACGCTGTTCAAGTCCTATAATTGCTGTGTCGAGAACACCGACTAATTTGTCAATCGAAATTTTTTTTCGTTTTCAATAACCTCTGTTTACTTTCTTCGCTATCAAAAGCGAATTATAATGACGAGGAACTTGTTTTAAATCATATCAAAGACGGAGCATATCGAGATGAAATACTACATTTGGTAAGGAATTATAAACCAAATAAAATGAAAACATCTGCGCTGAAGATAAAGATAGTGTTGACAGATCAACTTCCAATTCATTACGCGCCCGCCGCGCGGCGATCCCCCCGCCGAGCAGCGTGAAATTGATAAACAGATTTCGGATTTCAAAACATACTTTCGCTTTAGATCCTTTACATATTAACAAATATATATCGGAAATTCTATTTGATATAATCGAAAGTTTAAGCTTACTTTTATAAAATTGCTCTTACAGTCTGCAAAAAATAATAAGCCGGATCCAATTCGAAAATTAAGGAACGCAATCATCAACATTAACTGAAATAGATAATTAGACAATTTTAGCTTATACGTCCATTATAATAAAACGCGCACGCGAAAACGTATTCTGCACTTGCGCACACTCATATGCGCAGTCGTAAAGGGTCTTACGCGCACGGGTAAACGCCTATGCGCATGTGTCAACGCGGCGCATGCGCAGAAAGTTTTTAGTTTTGAGGTCCGGATTATAGATCATTCCGAATTATGGGTGTCCGAATTAACGACTTTTGACTGTAGTATGATAAGGAAAAAGAAATCCTTTCTTCTTAAGAAACTATACTTTAACAGGTACTTATGTATTATCCTGACAACCACTTGTCGTGATTTTGGCAATGGCTGCCTATGGCCAACTGTTACCGTGAAATTCTAAAATACACATTGATCCATAATTGGTGCTAAATCACACTACTTGGCCAGTCAATGGGATAGTACTTAAGTACCCATTTACAATTCAGATAACAATATAATATTTAACAAATACTCACAGATAAATCCAGACCTTTTTCAGTAGCTAGAGTTTTTGCAAAGGGACTTGCAAATATCCGTTGGGCTCCAGTTTGGGTTCCTAATATTGGCTGAGAAGGAGGGGCAGAAGAAGGAGGAGGAGTTGATGGAATAAGAGATGGTGCAGGAGGAGGTGCTGGAGGAGCAGCAGGTGGTTTGGCAGTCACAGGTTTCACTGATTCCCCAGTATCCACAAAATCTTTAAACTTTACTACATCTCCTTCATTTGTGACTATGATACACAGAAGTTTACCCAATGGCACATCTTTAGAGCCAGCAGGCACCAGAATTTTGGCCAGGTAACCTTCTTCTGGAGTTTCAAAGCCCATAGTGGCTTTATCAGTTTCAATTTCTGCTAACAGATCACCCTCATTTAATTTGTCACCTTCTTTCTTTTCCCATGAAACAATAGTTCCCATTTCCATAGTAGGAGAAAGGGCTGGCAGAGGTACACGATGATGTGGTGGCAAGTCATTACCTTATAAAAATATTTATGAAAGTTTAAAAATCATTAAGCAAGCAACCATGAAATTTAATTAAGTAAACTGGATTTTTAATTAAATCAACTTATACAGGGTTCGTACACATTTCTGCACATGGAAATTAAGTACTTTTAAGGACCATTAATGGAAAAAATTAAGGACCTATGAGCAAATGGAAACTGAATAAATTCAATTAAAAATATTATTCTATGCCCGATTTTTACTTTTGTAATACCATCCTAAAAATAAAATAGATCCCTAAGTAGTATGCATTATTATTAAACATGAATTAACTAACATAATTATTAATAAGTTGAGAATAAAATAAATTTCATGCAGTTTATCAAGTAGCATTAAAATATTTTACACTTATAATAGTTGGGCATATTTAAAAGAAGATAAGTGACATTTACGTTTTATTAATAGTTAGCTATATGCTTTTTTTTTTTTTTTTTTTTTTTTTTTTTTTTTTTTTTTTTTTTAATGTCTCATTTTGTCAATACTTGGTCAGTCTAGAGGTTTAGCAAATAGTAGGGAGATTTTATGTCAAACGGCATAGGTTAAAATGAGAAGTGAGATCATAATCAGCATGATTCATGACAAAAGACTGAATGTTGTCCCTCTGCTGCTTGTCTATAGCTGCTGCTTGTCTACCTGCTGATTGGAACAAACCTGAAAAGCCTGATGTAGGCACAGTTGGCAAGTGTTGAAAGTTAGTCAAGCTCTACTTAATGCAGTTAATGTCATAGCTTTGTCTAGAGTTCCAGGGGTTGTAACCCAGTTAATATACTTTAAGGCCATAGCCATTAAATAATAATAATGGCATTGGCCATTAAAGCGCCAGAGGTGATAATTTGTTTTATATATAAGTCTCAAGTAGATGCAAAGAATAAGTTTTACTTGATGGTGTTGATGGTTATTTGATGGGTGATGGTTACTTGATGGGTTCTCCACACAAAGGATTTGGAGATTGGATTCCCTAAAAACCCCACTCGCCGTTTAAAAGGGGGAGTATATACGGGTATTTCTCCCACTTTCTTGACAACCCTTTGTGGTGCAGTGGTTTGCACACTGGTAATGGTATTCCAGAGGTCCGCGGTTCGATTCCTGGCAAAGGCGCAGTTAATTTTTTATCTTTCCTGCTTTCAAAAATACCTAATGTCTCTACAAGCCTTCCCAAACATTTTGGCTAGTTTATATCGATTTTCTTCTCTTTAATTATCGATCTTTTGTCTCAATATGCAAACCAATGTTCTCGCTAGTACTGTGTGCTTTATCTCCTAACTTGTCAACCTCTCCACAATGTACCTATGAGGGTTTACTTGATCTGGTAAAAGTTAAATAGTCCCCCCCCTCCGATAATCATGAAGCAAATTATTACTGTATCTGAAAGTAACTACAATATCAGACAAAGAATTTAGAATATAAAGGCATGTTCTGATGCTAACAAAGTCAATTACAGCTCACAATGACGTAATTAAACAAGAACAGTCAAATTCAAACTAAAAATGTGGACTAGTGGTCAAAGATAATACAATTTAATTTTAATTTAATCTGGCTCAGTAACTCTATCATATGAGGAAACAGAAATGGGAAGTCATAGTAAAGGCTGAAATGATAAACAATTGGGTAATTTACATAATAATAACTGCACATATCTTTGAAGAATAATTTTCTTTATGTATTCAGTTTCTTTCTTCAACGTGTTTCCTTTTAATTTTAGAATTTTTAGACTTAATTAAGGATTTCTGTTATTCTAAAACACACTAAATGCATTTAGAATGTACAGAAAAAGAGGCTAATTTTATTTCTATAATATGAACATTCAGAAGAAATATGAAATATATATGGTAAAGGCCGGTTACAGAGCAGATCTAGAAATGACAAAACTTTTAGAATTTAGAGCAGGCATTGGAAGCAGAATTTAGATAGGCACTAGGCAGTAGAATTTAGGATACACAGAGATTGCATCAGGTGGGAAAATGCATAGCACCAGCTCTGTGTACGATGCATTTAGACACATTAGATGAATCTTTTAAATTGTAAGTTTTCAATTTCTTTATTAATAAAAAAATCTCTCTCTATAATGCCTGCTCAAGTGATAAGATTCTAATCTTATTTTTGATATTTTCCATGCTTTTGTCTAGTGAAAGGTAGAGAAAATAAAGGGGAGATAAACATGTTAAGATTCTAGTATCAGAAGTAAAACATTCAAATATTATGTTTCCATTGTTCTTCCAGACGTTCTCCAAAAAGTAAGAAATTCATCGCAAACTTTCTGTAAAATGCATCCATTATGTGTTGATATGTTAATACCATGGAGACATTTTTCATTTTGTCGCATATTTTGCGAATCTTCTAGAATCGTGGGTCTATAAATCTTGCCTTCAAATCCTTCTAAACTTTCCATGCTGCAATGTCAAAAATACTAAAGAAGAATTATCCCAACCAATTCTGTAACAGCAAAAAGCCAGAAATATTTTGGAAAAAAAAAAAAAAAAAAGGAAAAAGTGTAAAATTAATTTTATGGAGAAAACTGATGCATATTCTGAGAATTTTGAATAATCTGAGACAATTACATGGGAAAAACGCTTACTATGAAAAAATTAAAAAGAAGACATTTTAATTAATTACATAGCTAATTTTGCTTTTACTAAGAGCTGTTTCGTAAATTATGCTTTATAGCTATATACCTTGTTTATTTTTCAGATTTAAAATATTGTATAATAAATTGCCAAAATGAAATTTTAGAATATGACAGCGAAAAATAATGTTTTTTAATGTTATTTTTTAAATATGATTCTAAGATATTACCATTATTTTAATGAAATTTATCAATGTTATGATGTTTTAAAAAAATCGCTGAAAAATTCTCAGATCTCGGAATTAAAAATTTTCTATAGAAACTGATCTTAAAATCGCCAGAATGTCGACAAGTTGTCAAATTTAGAACCATTTAATAAAAGAATTCACAACCCCAACAGCAAAAAGTTGTTTAAGAGCTCTATTTTAGAAAAAATGAATATCGAAATGCTTATGTTTCACTTCTTGCTTAAAAACTCGAGTATCCCATCATTTATATTAAAAATATAAACATGAAAGAACCCATTCAAAAGATAACCATATACGTCAGTGAATTGCCAAAAATATTCCTCCAAAATGCTAATTCACACTCAAAATGACAGTCGTAAAAATAGAGAGAAATTTCAGATGATTAAAATTAAGGACCTTCTACTGATTTTGACCAAAATAAAGGACTTTTAAGGACCAAAAATTGATTTTAAAAAATTTAAGAACTTTTAAGGACTCTTAAACGAACCTTGTTATATTGTTAAATGCTTCATTTGAGCAATTTAAAAACCATTTTTGAACTATTTATTGAAATATTGAATACTGAACTATAAAAATTATTTATCGACTACTGAAATATTGAAAGATTCTCACAGATTGTTAATACTAAAAATTAATATAGATTTTAACTTATTTTTCTAAAAGTTCAGTACATATGAAATTTCAATTATAGATATAATTTATTTGCTATCAAATATTTATACTGGAAATCTGCATTAATGACACTTAAAGGTATTTTTAAATCACATACACACACTGTTCCTTAATAAATTTAATGATAATAAAGTCACAGTCATGTTCCAAAATGTCAAAATCTGCAGATAATAAATGTTCCAATATGATTTGTTATATTCATCAACAAAATAATAGATCAAGGGGGGACATGATAAAGAAGAATCTGGACCTAAAACATTAACAAGTGATAATAATTAAATTATTCTAAATAATTCCAAAAATAAAAAATGTCTCAATGAACATCCATAAACTAGAATTCATAAAATTTAGTTCATTTGAATTTTATTTGAAATACAAATCTAGTGCATGAAAACCTTTTTCCACAAATAGAAATTTATGTATGAGACGTCGGTACTTACACATTATTCTGTCGACCGGTTAAGAAGTACGATTTAGCATCAATTATGGATGACTCACTTCCTTTAGATTTCCACAGTAACGATTCGTGATTAGCAACCGTTGCTGAAATTTCCACCAACGGTCGATGGGATAACACGTAAGTAACGAGATGTCAATACCACAAAGGAAATACACTTTTTTAAAATCAGAAGTTAAAATAATTAATTAAAAAATTAAGTATTAAAATTAGATTCTTAAACATTACAAATTAATATTATTCTGATATACCTTTTTAAAATTAACTTTACTTAATATCACTGCAAAAAAAGCTATAATTAATACCATCACTTTAATTATGTGGACTTATATTTAATACCAATCAAAAATATTTTCCATTAAGAGTATATGCAATATAATAAGTCTGAATAATTACATTGTACACTACTTAATAGATGACCATCACTGTGTTAAATCAAAACCATAAAAGTAAATCTGTATCAAGCAAATTAAGGGAAAAATCTTTATAATTCAGACATAAGATATACTACATTGTGAGAATAAGAATACTGAATAAATCAAAAGAGAATTTAATATAAAAATGAGAACACAAATTTTCTTTCAGTAACATTAAAAAATAATAGATAAATAAAATATGAGATAAATCAGTACAAAGCATTTTTGGTGGCATTTCAATAAGAACTAAAGAATCAGGCAGAATTAAGCTATAAAATGCTACCTAGTTTAACAAAATATTAAATTTCTGCATTGTTTTCTTGGTTTACATTGATAAGATTGAAACTGTATAGAACAACTCTGGCATACAACTGACACTAGTTACCAACTTATAATTAATTATGCAGAAATTATGAGAAAGAGCATTATTGTTCCTTTTACCATTATTGTTCCCATTACAGACAAAGACATGTGATTGAAAGTGCTTAGACCAGCATGGCACACCATCTAGCATCAACACAGTACAGAATTTCCATTGCACAATCAACACCTGCATGCAAATGATCCTATTGTTGACACCAGTATAAGATTGACATTGCTTGCCTGTGCTCTAGCACTG